ACACTAAGGAACCCTTTCTCTAGCCAGAATAGGACACCTAAGGCAACGACAGTAGAAGAGGCTCTTGAGATAGCTAGGAACCTAGTAATCCAAGCAGCTAATCTAGCTGAAAACAACCCTACCCAGCAGACTAGTCTACTAGACCTAGTAGAAGTCTTCAGAGACTATACTGAGACAGGTAGAGTTAGTAAGAAGAACTCAGCAATCCTAGGAGATCAGATCTCCTCTCTCTCAAATGTCTCAAAGGAGCTTAGAGACAAAGTTCGACGCCTTGAAAAGCCTATTCCTGCACAACCAAACCAGCAGGGTGATAGACAGACAGCTGCTCTTACGCAGCCTATATCGTACGCTGCCATTGCAGCTGCAAACAAGGAGCAACAGTGGACTACTATGCAGAAGAAGGCACCTCAAAAGGCTAAGCCTAGCCTAAAGGAGAGGCAGCTCGTCCTAGTCAACCAAGGAGGCCCTGCTGCCTTTGACGCCCTTAGGCTAAGAAATGCCTTCAACCAAGCCTTCACCTTGAAAGGAGGGGTGCAATCGCCCGTAGTCGCCTCAGTCACGCTATCCTCAAAAGGGAATAAGGTAGTCACTACCACGCCTGCTTTTACAGCCAACTACCTGCTGGAAAACCAGGGTATCTGGAAGGATCTAGTAGCCTTTAAGGTAGCGCAGCCAATTACCTCGTGGTTTAAAATAGTCGTCCATAGGCTACCTACTAACCACGGCCTAGAGGTAATCAAGGAGGAGATTGAGACCTTTAACAAAGGCCTTAAAGTAGTAGGCACTCCCTTCTGGCTCACTCCTGAGTCTAAGAGAGGGCAGCAAAGCTATGGCTCCGCCTGCGTCGCCTTTGCGACTGAAGAGGAGGCCCTCAAGGCTATAAGAGGAAAGCTCTATATCCTAGGAGAGAGCCTAAGAGCAGAGAAGCTACGAGTTATTAACAACTTAAAGCAGTGCTCTAAATGCCAAGGCTTTGGCCACCTTGAGGCTAGGTGCACTAGAGTAGCCTGTCAGA